CTAGTCAAGTAGAGGCATACTAGTGACATTTTGGTTTGTCTATGTATTCACACAAGTATTATGTTTTCGGATAATACAATTCTAGCATGAATAATAAACATTTATCATGATATAAGGAAATAAAATAATAACATTATTATTGCCTCTAGGGCATATTTCCTTCAGTAAGTACTGGCAGTACTGGTTTGCTTAGCTGTGAAACTTGCTTATCCCCTATGATTGGACTTAATGTGAACATTGTGGCTCCAGGAGCTCCTGTAGCCCCTGGCGCTGGAGATTGGAGCTTCACGGCGACTGTTTGACATCTGTTCTGATTGCTAAAACCTCCACGACGAACTACTGTTGCACACCTTATTTTTAAGAAGTGTACTACATGACACACCTATCATCACAATCAAAGCAGGGCACGGACGATCTTGGAGAAAAAACCTGATGTGTCAGAACATTGTTTAGTGCTTCTCCTATGTGTCAATTTTCGTGAAGAAATGACATTCATATTAGTCTGAAAAAGTAAGTGCTCCAAAATGCTTTAAAACTACTCCCTCCATTCCATAATTATTGTTGTGGTTTAGTTCAAATGTTTGTTGCAAAAAAATGATTGTTTGAATGGCTTTACTGTGTTTATACTGTATTTTATTGTTCAACTCTAGCGGAGTCGCTATATGCCTCATGCCTCCATAATAACCATCAAAATGTTGGATATGTGGTAACAACCACTCCACCATATTCTCTATAACTTCATCGTCATATCTTTTGGAGGGTGCAACAAACCAATCTGAATAGAATTGCTTTGTTTTACCCGGTACGGCCCTTCCCGAAGAATCAGGTGTCTTTTCCTCGCCTTCCCCACCTCAAGCATCGGGGGCAACGACATTGGCGGTGGTGCAGTAGCACTGCACCCTCTTTATCGTGTCTACCAGAGGGGGTGAATAGGATATTTAAAATTTCTTCGAGAAACTTTAAATCTCTGCACAATGGAAAATAAACTAAGACAAGTGCAGTTCATCGAAATAAAACACTGAGAAAGAAATGGGAACTGTCAAAGCAAAACATCTCAAGTAACTGAGGATGAACTAGTCAACAGAAAACATTGCGAATACAGAATTACTGGAAGTAAATTAGGGTACAGAGGAAATCAGAGGTGCTTGATGGTGACACGGGATTTGGTAGACCAGCTCACTCTTCTATAAAATAGTTACGTCTGGTTGGAGGGACGTGGTTTAACACAGAAGATATACTCTCTTGGTCATGTTCTCCTCGACAACAAGTTCGTCAACTTGTGTCGATCAGTGATGATAGATGCTTCAGGTGATCTCCATAACCTTCACAGACTTTATCTTCATGAACCACAATGACTCTTGGTTGCTGAAGAACCGTATAGAGAGTTGGCAGCTCTAAAGAGTAACAACTGGAGCGTACTAAACTTAGATCTATGTGATGATAAACCACTATCTAGTTTTTTGGCTTTGGGGTTTTCTCTTGGTGGATTTTAAACTCAAATCTCTTGAAGAGGGGGTGCTCAGATAAATTGTCAGAAACACACAGAGAAGCCAACAAAATCCATTGGAGCGGGCTGGCTATTTATAGCTGTAGCCTTCCTAGGAAAATGACCATTAAGGACATGGCATTCAGCCAATTGCCAACCGACACATTTCCAATGGTTGAATTTCAAACACACCCGTCAACTTTACTTGAGAAACAAGCAAAGCTGACTCCTTTCTTAAACATATCTCTTGCAGTCCAAAAGAACACCGTTCTGGCTGGCGAGTAAAGTTTCGAGGCCAGAAGAGATTTCTCTTCACTCTCATGGGTTTTGATTTAGCATGAGAGAAAAAAAAGTTTTGAAGCACTATACCCTTTTGATAGTACGGTGATCCTATGACTCAAGAAAAAGAAAGTGAACTATGAAAGAAAATACTGCATGTTTTCCCGTCTTCATTCTTGTCGACTGCAGTCAAACGCCCAGACCAGGTACCGAAGAAATTGCTTCACTTCAGCAATTTTTATGGGTCAACTTCGTCACGCATAATCTTTGATGTTAATCTTCACTGTGACGCAGATGATAATTTGTGGAGTTTGTACCAAACTCCTCTTAACTCCAGGGACTTATAATCTCTGTATTCACTAGCAAACACATTAGTTCCTCACTGTTTTGGACAACAATCTCAAAAACACAAAGAGATAAATTACTACACCAACAATCTCCCCCTTTTTGTACAAATGGTTTTATTCTTATAATTTGCTTGTGCATTTTGGATTTGTTCTCATGCTGAATCAACATCTTTTACAATCATGCATGTACTCCAAGAAGGTACATGAACTCATCTAATTAGGACTACGGAAATTTGTGTTAAGTTGTTAAATGTGAGAGGAAGACATGCATATAATAGTATATTATTTAGAAATTAAACAAAATGATAGTTTATTTTTACTATATAATAATATAAATGGGATTTGATGTTGGCTTTAAGTCACAACCTTCATTGTTTCACATCATTACTTCCATGTTCAATACCTTTTATTGTTGATTCAATTTATTTGGTACATAAAGCTATCTGTCCTTAAAGACTCATGAGATTGTTGACAAGTTATAGAAACGTTCTTATGTTTTAATCTTCGGGAGAAACATTTTTAGCACTCTACATCTTTTATTATGGTTGTACATTTAATCAGTGACTTGTTACTTATAGAAATGTTTTTGTAGTTATGCCTAGAATGTCATCTTCAGGCAATAATGGTTTTACTGAAAGAGAGGACATATAGACATGTTTGTAGAGGGATCATCTTGTTGTCTAACACAAAGATGAATGGTTGTACTTCTAAAATTTTGAATGTGAAGATATCTTATTTTTTGTAGTAACATGTGATTCAGATAATTAGATTTCACTCGATGATGTTCTTTGGTCTTTAATATGTCTTATGTCAAAGTTGTCACTAGTTATACTTCGTATCCAAAAATAGCCTTTTTTGTTATTTGATTTGCATCAGGATTTGTCCCCGCACTGCTCTTGTTGGCTACCGTAGCAACGCATGGGCATGTGCTTATATAGGATACAAGGGTCTAGGATTTACAGGATCTTAGTCGGTTAGGGTGGTTGAGGAGTCATGCTGGATGCCAACTTCCTTGCCATATACTCCAAGTATTTCGAGTCCTTCCTTCATAAGGCCCCTTGGCCGAGACATCGGCCCAGGGCGTAAACTGACCTAGGGGGCCATGGACCAGCCTGCTTGGTCCGGTTTCTGGTATGATGAGGCACCCCTAAGACATAACATTGTCATATATCCAAACCAAATATCAACAAATAAATATGTCAGATTAGCTATCTAAGTAACATAAGATGCATCTTCTATTCATTATATGGTGCAAATAGTTAGAAAAGAGAGGAAATGGAAGGTAATTCTTTGTTTAAGACCCTCAGCTTTCACAAAGCTCTTTGGTTCATCTAATCAGAGTTATAAGAATAATTCGGCGGAAATATGCAGTAACTAGCTGTAGTAATTGACCGGCATAAGTTGACACATTAACTTTAGTAATTGAATTGCATCAAAACCATTAAGGATTTAACTAGAACCATTTTTACAGTACACTGGCAAAACAACATGTTGAATGGAGTTAGTTGGCATGGAATGGATGATCTTGCCGATGTGCGCCAAGAAACCACATATGCAAGAGGATGAGAATCATGTCGATGGTCGATTTTGGATGTTGTCCATTAACCCTGCAACAGAGGCAATTTGAAGAACTCCGGTCACTATTACAACATGCAAATTTAGTTGAAGTATGTGTTTGGATTGTTCTCACCGGCAAATAAAATGCAATACATGCTTAGAGCAAATATAAATAGAAAAGTGCATGCCAACATAATTTATTTGGAACTAATATTTTTTGCCAAATCCCGAGGACAGTCAATTCAGGTAAGATAGCCTCAAATAAACTAGAAATTAAAACCATACCAACCAGGACTAGCCCTTGATGGAAGTTTTTGATGAACAAAAGCATGCACCCAGCGGAGGCCCGGCGAGATGCACAAATTATAGCCTACTCTACCTAGACAACTAGTTGATGCTCAGTTCTTTAACCTAGAAACCTGAATACATATGCAAAATATGAGGGCTTGACCATTATAGAAGATTGTAAATGAAAAAGGGAAACAAAGGTAAGGAAACCCGAATATAAATATTGATTCTTTATCATTCACTCCACCATTCAGCTTTTATTTCTACAAAAAAATATGAGGGTGTGGGCACACAAATGTCATGGGAATAGAGCATTTAGAATTGGCTACTAATGGAAATGCATGCACAACTAAACTCCACGATTGAGATATCAGTGCCACATTTCAACCACCCTAAACATGTAAAGCAATGCAAGCTGGACATTAGGTTTCAACAAAACTTATAAGAATTAATATTTATATATCTACTTCGTGTAGGAGCATGCTAATCATAAATTCCGAAAAAAATATACTCACCAGAGCTAAGATAGACAAAACATTCTGTTGAACCATAGGTTCCGAAGATGTTGTTTATTTTTGTGCATCTAGTGTTACTTGTTGAGGCCTCCCGTGAGAGCCTCACTATAATTTTCTTAAGCATTGGCGCAGATACAAGTAGTAGTTTCAGTAAATCAAACTCATGGTCCACTCCTTCAAATCCGTCGATTTCCACTTCTTCAAGAGCAGTCAAGGAGATCGGTCGGGATCTCCAGTTTGTGGACTCACAAGGACAATCCGTTGGGCATTTTTCTTTTACCTAGGACCAAAAAGAAAAATGTAAACTACTACACAATCAATTATTGATATATATAGTCAAAGCAGATATTAATTACCACTGATCTTAGTAGGATGATTTTAAGCCTCTGCAGTGAACTAGAAATTCGATTAATATTAAGGAGATAAAACACGAGTGCTCCAAAAACATGTCCATCTGTTTTGAGATCTAGCTCCAAAAGAGAGAAGTCAACAACCATATGCTTCTCTATCTCCTCTGCAAAGTTGGGCTCATCGGAGAAAAGTGACGAGTTCTGAAAAAATATTTTTGCAGGATATATGTAATTCATAAACTTTAGTTTAGTATGATATTCCACTAAATTGAAAAGGAGAGCGGACGTGCGACACTTGCACGAATATGCAGTAGAGGGAGTTGTCCTTGTCTCTCTGCCGCCTGCGGTCCTAGCAACTCGAGATACCAAAGATAAAAAACAATCGACTCCTCTGTGTAGTAGCAGTACAACCAGACCTTCTCCATAATTGGTGCAAACACCGAAATGTTGACCTCCAACATCACGGTAAAGAGAATCTCCAGTTTCTTAAGCATGGGGGCTATAATGTTGACACGTTCTATTGAGAAGGGCCTCACAACAAGCTCCTGGAGCGATGACGAGTTCACCCTTAGATCGCATGTCTCGAATAAAATGCCGCTGAGGAGGAGGGTGCACAACCGTGGGCAACATGAGAGCAAGGCATTGAGGTTGCCATTACAGTGTAATAGGGACAACCTCTCAAGCATAGGGAACTTGACACTGACTGGCACAGAGCGAATGAATACGTGGTCCAACATGATGGAGGTGGTGCGGTGGAAGCAAGGCAGATCAATGATGATGGACTTGCCTAATAGGCCCATGCTCGAAGGGAAAGAGGCGATGAACTCCTTCGGCTCAAGTTCCACGGCGACGAACAACAACGAGTTGACTTGGGCAGTGCTTGACATGTCTTGCCTAGGGGCGTGGATCTCCAACAGGGAAACCGCAGGAGGACAAGAGATCTGGTCGAATGCCGACTCGATTGAGTCGAAACGACATTATGGAAAATGATCTGGCGGAGGCAGGCCCAGTGGCCACGCCATCGCCTTGAGAGGATGCTTGTGCGCGCCGAACGCTGATGCAGGGGAGGCTAACAAGCATGAGGAGGAGTAGATCATCGGGAAGGGTGCTGATGCAATCTGGATCTAGGGAACCCAGGTGACACCCAGATCTGAAATCCATCGAAGCTTTTGCAAAACACCACCGTTCCCCTCCAAGAGAGAGGGGGGCGGAAGAAACCAGATGGGAGGACAGCGAGGAGAGGGGAGGGAGAGGAATGGGTGAAGCAGTGGTGGTGTTTGGTGGCGTCGAGAGGATGGGTGGTGGCGGAGATTTGGTGGTGTGTGGTGACGTCGGTTTGTTTGAGGAAAGTTGCTTATTCAATGATGGTAAAATTATGGATTCCATATTTGACCCTGGAGATTTCAAACTTCATTGCTTGAAGCTAGATCTAGATTTCATTCTTAATATGTCACTACTGACATGTCGTTTTTTTGTTTCATGGATGAAATTACCCCTTATTATATGTGGGCCAGCCCTGCTGCTCGCCTGCGTGATACATGCCTGTTTCCCAACTCTGCCTCAATCTGGGATATTCTCACATGGCTCATCTCCCCACCCCTTGCAAAGTTGCAATGAATAGCTTGTCCTTCAATCAAGCCTCACATATTAAAAAACACTTCCCTGATAATACGTATTTGTCATAGTAGGTCACGTTTTCTGTCATGCATGTACATTCATGATGATTTTATAACAGAATAAAAATAGTCATACATGTGTTGTCATAGAAGTGTTCCAGGACAATAATCCATTTATCATCATGCAAGTGTTTACTTCCGTGACGATAAATGGCGCATCATGAAAGTGACTTCGTCAAGGGTAAATGACACGTGACAGCCACCGTAACGAGTCGCTATTAAGCTGTCGGGTCCGAAACCGACACCCAATAATTTTCCATGTGTCAATTTCTCATTCGCCAATGGTACCATGCGTCAGCTTTGTGCTGTGACAGGTGTCGCCATCCAATGGAGGAGACACGCCTATGAAACGTTGACACATGGCACACGACCCAACAGTGGTCAATTTAGGTTAAAAAGGACGTCCGAGTCAAAGTTAGTGGGCCAGCCCATTTACGACATGCTTGCAACAACGACCCATATGAGTGTTGTCAATTTGGCCCGTCAATGGCCCGTTAACGATTTGACACTATTGCAGTTCATCGTCAGTTCCAGCCCGTTAACAACCTGCTATGTCTTTAGGCTCATTTGTGGCCCGTTGTTCTTTCAGCCTGTTAGAGGCCCATTCCAAAGATGGGCCAATTTCCAAGTGGTACGTCTTTTGGCCTTTTAGCGGTTCATTCTGGAGTTGGGCCAATTTTCAGCCTCGTGTGTCTTTCGGCCTATTAACAACCCACAGCGCAGTTGGGCCATTTACGGTCTGACCTGACTTTTGGCCTATTAACAACCATTGTTCTCCATGGCACAACCCCAACTCGATTTGGCTTTCAGCCTGCTAAAGGCCCGTGTTGTATATTGGTCACTTATGGCCCGATTAGCTTTCGACCTGTTAACGGCCCGACATGGAAATGGACGAAACATGAACCGAGGTCTATTTCGGCCTGCAAATGGCCCATTGACTCTCCATTATTGCGGCTGAATCGAGCTTTCGGCCTGTTAACGGCTCGTCAACTAATTGGGCCTACCTTACATTTGGGCCTGCAGTGTGCCTGCAGTGTGGGCTATGACCAACTAGTTGACGAGCGCTTCTTCGGGAGTCTCGCAACAATCACTTGTGGATGGGCGTAGAGCGTGCCACTTGGCGGGCTGTCAATCGCTGCCACGTGTCGCCTCTGGACGCTCCCTCCAGATTTTGTATTTTTTTTATTTTTCCACATGCATTTTCGACTTTTTAAATGGTTTTTTCTAAAAAAAATTACTTTTTGATCGGTCTTCCTTAACTTTTGGAGGCACGGTTTTGCTTTCCAAGAGGCACGGCCGTGTCTTCCGGAAACGAAAAAAAACCGTGTTTTCTAATTTTTTTCCTTCCGCGAGAGACATGCTTTTCCACTAGAGGCACGGCCGTGCCTCTCGAAAATGGAGAAAACAACGTGTTTTCTATTTTTTTTCTTAAGAGGCACGGGTTATGCTTTCACGAGAGACACGACTATGAATACAAAAATACACGTTTTTTTCCTTCCACAAGAATTTCCTTCCACACAACTATGCCTCTCAAAAAAATACAAAAATATACGTTTTTTTCCTTCCATAAAAAACACGGTTGTGCTTCAACCTGACAAGGTCGGGTTTGACCAGGTCGATCTATACCAGACCGATGCCCAACTCCACTATCGGGTCAATCCCCATTGACCCTACCCATGGGTCTAGAACGGGACCCATGCCCGAACCCACCGGGTAACCCGACCCAGTCGGGCAACAATCGGGTATGGCAGCAGAGGCCATTTCAAATAATTTTTTTATGATAAATTTTTCTTGCCCAACATTTTAAGGAAGGCACGGCCTTTCAACCCAAACTACCTGTCATTTAATAACAAGGCGTTTATGCCATACGCCACAACCAGTAACTAGGTAGCCAGCCTCCTCCTAGCTTTATAGTGCTGCAGATGCTTTCATTCTTTCTGGCTGGTCGAGGTGGTACTAAACTATGCACATGTGAGGTAGTAGTGTGCTGCGGCTGGTTATCTGCATGGGCCAATCTCAAAATGAATTTTGGCCCAGTGTGAATGATAAAAGGAGCAATGCCCAGTTAACTGCATGTGAAAGCACTTGGGCTGCACGTTGTGGGCTGACCAAAGATTACTCTATTTTGCTGGGAAAGCTGGCAGCTTGTTTTGAACTGTATAGCGCAGGCTACTAGATGCTATTTTTAGAGAAAAATGTCTATATAAAGTAACTTTTTTCAAATAACAATCAACATGTAAGACAAATAAATACGATTATTAATATTAATCGGGTGACTCATGGGCACAAACCTGCGCCCATACCCTACCCACTACTAATCGGGTTACCATGGGCAAGACCCATGGGTGAAGATGGCGAAAGGAACAGGAACCGGAACAAAATAAAAATAAAATAGAAGTGAAAACAGAAGAAAAGGAACAGGAACCGCAAAAAGGAAAGCGCAAAGACAGTGCTACCCACATTACACCAGCAAAAACCGGAACTATCCATGAAGAATCACGCAAAATCAAACACATTATCGATGCTTGGGGCACGGTCTATGCCGTGAGCGACGCGCCGCTCGCGCGCGTACTCGCTGTTATAAGCAGCAAATAACTTTTGCTCCCATACCAAGCACGGCCAGAAATTAGTATGCGGCTCATGTTGACCATCCGGAGAAAACGAAAAGAAAGGTAGAACATAGAGATACACAAGCCTTAATGTACATCATCCTGACAACCCCGTTGAAAAAATTATGTCTACTCAATCGACCTAAAATCACATTCCAACTAAGTAATTATAGCGGGGCGTGGCAGAGCGCCGTCTCCTATAGTATTTTTTCATAGGTAAAAGTTATTTGAACTTTTTTTTGTCATCCGACCCTAAGTACGCATTGCTCTTACTTAGTTTTTAAATTTAAGCAGCAAAAACAATCAAATAAGCATAGTTAAACTAACGATGATGGGCACTTGCACAGATGCAACGCTTTTGCCCCATATTAACTACTCCCTTTATCCCATAATATAAGAGCCTTTTTGACACTAGTTACACTACACTAGTGTAAAAAAAGCTTTTATATTATGAGACAGAGGAAGTAGTAAGTAAGTTGTACTACCTCTATACTAAAATATAAGACGTTTTGTGCAGTTCAATTTGAGGTACAATAAAAACGTAAAAACGTCTTATATTTTGATACAAAGGGAGTAGTTGCTTATCACGTGAACTGTGTAAGAGGGATAATAAACAAAAACATCTAGACTTCACACGCGGAAAAGAAGATTGTGGAGAACATGCATGGAAGAGTGTAGAATGGAAGAGAAGGCCGCGGATATGGTGGATCTCCATTAGAAATAGTGTACCAAGTACTACAATCATACTAGATGCTTCTACTCTAGATCATAGCACGACATGGCAGGATCTAATCTAAAATCTAGCAAAATAAAGAGGAGACTGACCAAGAGTATAGATAGATAGATGCAGATATGTTGAGTCAAGATTTGAACCGAAGAAGAATCAGGCAGCAGGGAGCGTGCCGCAGCCCTAACCCTGACCAGACCACGACCGAACCCAACCAAAACACCATTCATCGCACGCACGCTTCCAAGCAAGCAACGGCGGTTTCGCCCCCTCGCCCCCGCATTAATTGCGCTCCCATCCTTCCTATCCCCTCCCCTGCTCCGCTCCTCCGCCTCTCCCCATCTCTCTCTTCCTCTGCTCCGTCTCGCCCCAAGACTCCCCTTCCCCACCTCCCTCCGTGTCCGTCCCTCAAGATTTCCCTCCCCTCCCTCCCTCCCTCCCACCCGCGCCCCGGCGTATATATACGCGGCCCCGACCCGAGCCATTCCACGCTTG